TTTACAATTTTTGACTTTTCAGAGTCAGTTAAATCTCTTTTTTGGCCCATTTTGCCTGAGGGAAGAAGCTGCCTAATAATTTTGCACACCTTGATATAGGCTGTTGATCTCCTTAGGCCACACCCTCCCTCATTACACAAATACACATCACCTTATACCCAATAAGCATTCAGGTTTCCACAGCTTGGAGGTGGAAAATGATGATATGGTCAAAATATTCACTTGCCTAATAATTGTGCACACAGTGTAGGTATTTAAATGTATTTTTGCAGTTAACTACAATGTTTCTGCATCCAGGTAAAATTTATCACCACTGGAAACTGAAATTGGATGTTGTATCAATATATTCCCACTCTTGCCCCTTTTTTATTTTGGACCCTTTTTAAGTGCTTGTACTGTTAGCTTTTTATCAGTTTCTTTTTAAATCAAAACGTATAATGGAATGTAAAAGTTGGAAGGCTTCTTGGAGGTTGTTTAAGCCAACTTTATGTCTATTGTAGGAAGCTACTCCTATATTACACCTTGTTTCCAGCTAAGGAAAGTCCACCACCTTCCAGCTCTTACCATTAGAAAACTCTATTTCCCTATGATTTAAGTAAATTGTTCGTTGCCCTCTGGGTATCTTCCAGTTTGTCAATATCCTTCCTAAAATGCAATGCCCAGAAATACTCAGTATTCTAGGTGTGGATACCAAATAAAGAAGAGCAGTGATATATCTTAATCTTGATATAATACAGTACTTACATCAATAAGCCTATGTTTGCATTTGTGATTGCATTTTTTTTTTTTTTTTGCAGCTACATCACATAGTTGAACAGTACAGAGTCTTGAACAGAACCCTGTAGTATGCTGTTTGACACTTCCTTTCAGCTTAACCTGGAACCATTGGTACATGATTGTACAATCTGCTCTGTATCTAATAGTGTTGCAGGCCAGCTCATATTTTATCTTTTGCTCTGTTAGGATAATGTAGGAAACTTTGTCAAATGTTCTGTTGAAATCAAGGCACGTAAGCTATGTCCACCACATTACTGTTAACTAAACCATTCACTCTACCAAAAAAGATCAGGTTTGTTCAGCATGACATCATTTGGATAGGCCAATATTGGTTCTGTCAAATAATGCATTATTTTTAAATGTTAAAAATAATCCGTTCCACCGTTTTGCCAGATATCAACATCAGTTTTGTAAACTACCTGGGTTCTTTTCTCCCCATCACCAGCTTTTTGAAGAATAGCTCTGAGATGACATCTGCAAACTCCTTCAAGGCTCTGATGTAACTGAGCTGGTTCTGTACAAACTCATTCATGGTAGCTCAGTGTTTCCATATCTTTACTCACCTTGGATTGCCACTTTCTCTCTGTACAAATTGTTCTGCTTAGGTCCATTTGAGCACAGTTCCCATCTGGGAAGAAGACTAAAGTGAAATAGGAGTTCTGATTTCTCCCTGTTACTGTTACCATTCTCTCATCTTCTATTAGCAGCAGGCCCACAGCTTGCTTTTTCTTCTCTTACTACTGATACAGCGGAAAAGGGTACTTTTTTTGTAGTCTTCAACTTTCTTTTGTGTTTAAGCTTTTCTAATTTGATTTCTGAAAATATTGGCTACCATCTGGTACACTTTCGTGATCACATCTATTTTCCATTCCTTATGCCTTTTAACTCTTAGCTCAGTAGAAAGCTCCATATCTCTCTGTCTCTACTCCCAATGGTATTTTAAACTCTGCCTCCTTCATTTTTTCTTCTCATTGAAATAGTGTGCAATAGTACTCCCAATATCTTATTTTTGAGAAAATCCTAACCTTGCTACACTCACTTTGTACAGAGGATTTCTGTCCATAAGATCCCACATAGTGCTTCTCTAAGCTTGTTGAAACTGGTTCTCCTGAAATCTAGTATGCACGGTATGCCTATGCTCAAAATTCACTTTCTTTAGTATCTGGCACTCATGACATGGTCACTTCCTCCTAAGGTTCCACTGTTTTTACTTTATCAATCAGCTTTTCCCTATTAGGATCAGATCTATGCAAGGCAGTTCTCTTGTTGGTTCCTCAACTTTTGAAAAACAATTTTTTGTGACCATGCATTCTTGGCAGAGTTGGCTTTCCAGATAGTAGAAGTCTCTCCTCCCTGAAAGTTCTGTAATCTAATCCAGGAGGACATTATCCATCTTCTGCCAGGCTTGATTATAGCACATCTCTACAGTAATTTCATTGGTATTTTCCTCTTCCCTTTATTTTTACCTGAATGCTCTTCACTAGATCCTTATGATGACATTCCTAGATATCTACATGTAAACACTTCCTAAACATATAATGCCTCTACTCCACTTTTGTCAGGAGGCGTATTCATTTTGAATGTGGTATACCCTTCAATTCTTGCATTCACGTCATGAATGTCATCCTGCCAGTTTTCAGTAGTGACTACTAAATCATATTTGCCTTTCTGGAATAAAGCATTTAGTTCTTGCTGTTTGTTTCCCATACTTTAAGGATTTATACAGAAACACTGCAGATCTTGGGTCATATAACTTGATATATTCCTTCCCATGTATGCATGCTCATTACTGGGTGCCTTCACTACCTGTATATTACTTCTGGTCCTGTCCCCAGTACTTGCTGTCACACTATTTTGTGGACTCTCTTCTCCCTCCCTTCAATTAGGTTTGCAAGGTACTTTCCAAACATGCACTTCATAATCTGTATGAGGTGCGGCTGTTCTCTTTCTAGGAGTTCCCCATGAAAAACACTCATGATCAAAGGATCCAGACCGTTTGCATTGGCACCATCTTCATGTCCAGTGATTTACTTCCAGTATTTACTCACTTCTTAGGCTGTGCGCTTCAGAAAGGACTGAGGAAAATGTCAGTCATGGCCTTCCTCCTCCTCCTGCCCAGTGTTTCTTAATCCTTTGTAATGTCTTGCAGCTGTTTGACTCTGGGAGGGGTACTGAATAAACTTAACACAATAGAAAATGAACATTACAAAAGATAAGGATAAAAATAATACAGGATTTTCACAAACCAGTCATCCCCCAAGGGGTCCACCATCTTCTCTAGCCCACAGCCTGGGGGAAAAGGCAGGCTTTAAGGGGTCATTTGAATAAGTCAGGGTGGGGACTATCCAAATCTGGGGGAGAGGATATTCCACAGGGCAAATGTAATGACAGAGAAGGCCCACTTCCTGGTTTCCACCCGATGATACAATTTCATCAATGGACCCAGAGCATGCCAACTCTTAGTTGTATAGGATGGGCACAAACTAGGGGAGACAGGTCCTCGGTTAACTATGTCCTATGCTATGATGGGTTGCAGTTTAAGAAAAATACAAATATGGCAAACACAAGTAGTATCTAGAAATAAAAAGGACTAAGAG